CACATTTGCTTGGATACATAAAAAAAAAAATGTTGATTGTTTTATTTGAGAGTTTTAAGGACAATTATTATTTATTATGAATAGATAGTAGACATATTAGACATTTAGATGTATAATCATTTAACTCAGTGTCTTGTTTAAAAAAAAATATTGAATTATACTTTATAGTATTATACAAAGACAATTGTCAGTGTAGAGACTGGTTGTTTTCAATAATGAGTATAAATAATATAAATTATTGTTATTATTATCGCTAACTAATCTTTTTTTTATACCATTATTTGATTACAATATAATAATAATAATTAATAACAATATAATATCTCTTTATACCTATTCCAGGCCAAAACATACTTTCCGTGTATAATGTATAATGTAAAAGTATTTCTTTAAAAATGTATTTTTAATGTTTAAAAAGTTAAGGAAAATACGAAAAAATAAATATTAAATAAAACTTAAAGTTTACTACTACTATTATAAGTTCTACATTATTACACTCGATTCCTTTAAACTTTAAATTAAAGAGTATCTTTATTATAATGCTCGTATAAACCATTTATTCATTGTTAGCTATGTTATACTTAATTTTTTCAAAACAATTTAGGTAGTCACTTTTTGTCTTTTGAAATGATCTAAAATCTAAAATACTTTTTAGTTAATATAATTGTTTCAAAATGACGAACTAAGATGTATTTTAAACATAATTATGTTTTAAGGAAAGTAATTACATAGAACTATAGCATTTCGATGAGTGGCACAACTTTATAATAAGAAGCCCATATGAAAATGTACTAGGGCCCTTACCTGCTAGTAAAAATTAAAAACAGTCATACCTTATTATAACTCTACAAAATATTGCTTTCCAAACATGTCATAGTTAATAATAGTTAGTTATATACATACAGGTTTACACAGGATCATACAAGTAAAAAACAACTTTATTGAGGAAATATTAGTGTTTTCAATTTAGTCAACATGTAATGAAATGCATTGGAGATTTCAAAGGAAATAAGTATTGAATGGAATGAATGCATTTTAAATATTTAATGGATTTTATTTATTTTTATCTATTACTTATTTGAATATACGAGGAAAAATTTCAAAATCAAATTACTTGTCTTCAAAATCATGAACTATACATTCATGAACAAAATATGTCAGAAATAAATTATGTATTCACTAAAATATAAAATGATTAAATACTAAAATATTTAAATATTCCATTACTGTAGTACTGGTGCAACGTTAACAATATATAATATTAATCCTTAAACAAAAACCATTTTTTTTTCTTTGTCTTGCGTCATTACGGAATGAAGGAAGGAAATGATTTGTTATGATAAAGATAAATTAATAACATCATGGCCACTACGCAAATACGTTTCCGGTCTTGTTTTAATTTAATTTTCACTGATACTTGTAAATTCTGATACTTATATAATCGGAAAGCAAACTTTGTTTAAAACAAATGCGATTTTTGCCAACTTAAGGTAAGGGTGCATTCGCTACCGTATAAACGTGAGTTGCTATATTGTTTTGCGTAAACGCCAAGATAATGCTTTCAAGAGGCACCTACGGCTTTTGCATACCTATATACACCTAAACCTATCTGTGTGGTAGAGTGGAAAACTGAAATAGATAGTGTTGGGTTTTAGTGTTTAGAGAACTACCCCCCCCCCCCTCCTTCCGTGCATCTAGCTACACAAAACGCCGAACAAACAGTTGATCAATCAACAACAGCAGCTGTACTCGATTCAAGTCCTGACGTCGTATGGTCTAATGGAGATACAAATGTATTTGAACAGTATAATAATAATGAAAACCACGATGAAGATAAACTGGCCAAAAATATAAACACAAAACGTACAGCACTGATATGTTTGTAATCAAAAAATAATTAATCAAAGTCGACTCAATTTTAATACAATCATGACGAAAAAATAAGATTTATTATTTTTTTTTTTTGGAAATCATAAGCAATTAAAAATTAGTACTTTAGTGTTAGAACATTACAAATATTTGTTGGAATTATTCACGATGAACTTTTTCTTTATTTAAAAAACGTAATCATTATAACTATTTACGATTATAATTTATACTTAGGTAGTAAAAAAAACATGTAGTTAATAATACGTAGATAAATATTAAACTTTATAAAGATAATAAAATAATTAATTTTAAGTTATAATATATTATATGGATAGGTAAACAATAAAACCTTTAAACTTTTGGTTAGTAATCGGTAATCATCCCAATAAATTTAAATTGTTTTCAGATCGCAATAAGTAAGCTGGTTCAAAACAAATACTGTAATACACTAATACACTCTTTGTATGCCTACACGACTACATTGTACACTAATAATTTTTATTAGGTATATAAATATTTTCCCTTAGATAATAATATATTCATATTTAGGTAGGGAATATCAAGTAATGCAAGTTAACTATCTGTTGAAGTTAAATATCTAATGCGGGATGATAGAACTTTAAATTTAATTGATTTTGACCTCGTCATTATACTTATAATCAATAAGAGTACCTAGCAAATAGAAATATGTGTACTCTGTAGATATTATTCAAATAACATACATTGCGGATTTAAATTACATTTTCTGGTGGGTATTTGAGAGAAATATGGCCAATTCACATGTACTTATATATTAATAAATATGCTCATAATGTACATATATATGTTTGGTACCTATTTAGTGCGGTGATTGATGTACTTCAAACATTGTGATGTGAGCCATTTGTGTAGTTAATATCGTTATATCTCTTGAACTATAACTTAATACTTTTAAGAAACAGTATAATAATATCAAATAATAAGACACATCACACATGAGTGATGTACACGAAAGACCATAAGAAAATTATCCTATAACAATTTTATATTAATTTATATTTTATAAATCGTGCATTAAAGATTTTTAATTCGTATAATCATATCATATTAGATTCAATTACAGAGTAGGTATATTATAGATAGGCAAGTTACATTATAATTTCATTTCAGAAATTGGAAAATATCCAAAAATGTTTCTTTCTTTAAAGCCATTATTAAATTTTGTATTAAATATAAATATACAAGTTATTTTGGGATTTTAATTTTTGTTAAAGAAAAGATAATGCTCTTACTGTTTATTGTTTAGTACCTATTAATTATTAAAGTTAAATTAGTACTTAAAGCTCAAATATGACAATTTAAATTATGAAATAAATTATTTTATATCTTTATTTAACAATTAAACTTCTCTAGTATATTCATATCTAATATTTTATGTGATTCATAAAAATGTATCTTTAATTTAAACCTTAAAGTAAGGTAAGGTGCCCGACGAGGCTTTACAAGGTTATATAAATAATTATATTAGGTAGGTATACAGCTTTTTAAAAATATTTCCTAGGAACACCCTATAATAAATGTTACCATATTATAATTTTTATTTTTAACCTTTATCAACAATATCGTTACGAATTATTAACAAATCATTAATTTCTAATTAATAAGCTCTGCCCCTAAAGGACGTTTAAATAACAATACGAGCACAATAATGGCATTATCGTTTTATATTTTCATAAATATATTGACATTTAAGTACTTACCTGGTTGGTATAACCAACACAATAAACCATTATGTCCGATAAGCTATTGATGAAGTTCTTTCATTAAATATTATAATACAATTTTTTGTCGTTGGACTTCTACCATACCTACCTAAATAGTTGTTATAAATACTTATAATACTACAATACTACATTGGTTAGTAAACTGAAAAAATATGATACCTGAAGATTTGTTTAATATTACGAAAAGCCATTATTTATGGTGCAATTAAAACGAAATATTAAGGGCAATAGAACAATTTTTTAATTGATAAAAGTAATTTTTATATGAAAATAACTTTAGTGCTAGATGTAAAACCCAAATGAAATGAGGTAAAAAAGAATAACATTTTTAGATATTTTACCATTAATTATTTAGTCACCAGTGAATTTGTTTTCTGTAACAATTAATTTAAATTGTAATAATCAGTATGAGCAATTTATAAAACGAGTTTATTTTTTTATGTTCTAGTGTTATATAAATCATAATGGCTCATTAACTCCACTACAGCAAGGCTTATATTATAATTGATGTAGGTACTTTTTATTTCTTACTTACTAATAAAAATTCAAGTTTATATTATATTATAAATAGTATTATATGATATCAATAGTTCTAAAAAAAAAATCTATGTACCTAATTATCTACGTTATTAAGTCAATATAGTTATGATCTAAGTGTATTTTTTATTTCTTTTCATATGGTACCTAACCTATTTTAATGAAACTAACCAGTCCGTATGTTGTTTTAACTGGCAAAATTATTTCATATTATATGTTTTGTATTTAATGTCGTTCAGAAACGATAAAGTATAAATATAAGTCTATTTATATATTATATAGGTAGGTACACAATAGAACTGTGTGTAAAACGCTTGGGCCATGGAGCGTACCTATTCGTTTACTGTAAATTGCAGTTTAAGTATTTTACTGTTGGACACATCGCGAAGAATGATTCGTCTTATATTATCTACGACGGTGCTAAAATGCCATGGGTAATAATAATATATATTATCCTCAGTTACTATTTGGTTTATGAGTTTTCTTGACTTTGCAGCTAGTTTTATATATAGGTGCGTGGAATCATTTACGTTTTATTGTTGATGACAGACAACACCAAATAATAAATGACCTCGAGTTAAAGTCTCAATCCAGAGTGTTGTTAATACATTTTCCGTCCGTCTCTTCTACTCTCCGCCTCCGACACTCAGAAGAAGGTTTGTATATGTAGGTGAATAAATGACTACTGCAAACCAGTAGACACAGTGACAGAACAGAAAGTTACCAAAGTCTTTTTTAAACCCCAACAGAGTCATTAGAAAAGACGCCCTCTCCCTACCACCCTGAAACGAGTTCCCTCGTATTTTTACACGGTAACCAGGGTGACCGGATATGGGGCGACGGCGGAGCGGGGAGATCGATAAAAGGGTCGGGAAAGCCGATTTTGCGCATCTGCCTCGTGGCTGCCTTTCCATCCACTCAGACCGTCGCCGAGCCACAAAGACGTCACATTACATGTAAGTTATTTTATTATTATTGTTATTATATTTTAATACGAATGCGTACATTTAATGGTCCTTAACATTATTTTTAAGCCAGACATATCTCCGTCGCTTTACGACGAATAAATAGGTAGCACTATTACATTATTGCACGAATCGTTATCAGTCTTAGATATAAAAAACAACAAACAACAATGGACACCAACAGTAACACTGTCGAAACACCATGCAGCTATATTTCATTATAGTTATTTTCAATAGGTTAACCTATGCCTGATATTATTACTAGTACAAACTATTAATTATAATCAACAAATTTAAACCATTCAGAGCAGTTAATATAATAAATAATAATCCTGTTACGAGGTGGGTATTGATCTATTGACTATTTCTCTAAGTATAAATGTAAAATGCCTAATACATCTATAAATAACAAAAAGTATTAAGTACTAACACTAAACTGAATAACTAACAACCCATTTGTTCTGTTTCATGGAGTTGAACATTTCAAAAATGTATTCAAGTATGAAGTATTTAAGCATAACTGCAGTTTAGTTTTAGATGCTTATTTGTATGTAAAATTTAAGTTATTTTCTTACAAAAGTATTATAATATCTACCTAATATTTTTGTAATTTCGTATTATTATTGTTCGTTTTGAATTATTTTTTCTGAATAATAAATTAATATATAAGACCTTTATAATATAGTTTAAATACCTCCTAATCAATACTTTATCATCTATTATAATTATTTTCAATTATGTTTACTATAGTTGTAACAATATTTTAGAACAATTTGTATCATTACTTATTACTAAATATTTGTACTATTACTTATATAAATCTTCCAACCTACATTTTTATTTCATAAATAGTATAGGTTAAGAAACGAAAATGTATAAATTATTTAATGAATAGATATACAGAATGATATTGATTATAATACTTTATATTTGATAGGTAATAAAATTATTTTTATAATATAATCGACCAAAAATGAGGAGTAAATAGTTTTGTAATAATTTATAATTATTAATTATAAATAATTTCATTTTAAAAGTTATTGCCATCGATGATAAATAACCCTTTTTTTATTCCTATTTCCTAGATCTACTTTTGATTATAATACTATTATTATTAATTATCATTGTTAATATTATAAATAGGTACTAAATACTATTAATAATATTATAGTAAGTACCTATTTATGATATCAAATTAGTATGCAAAAGCTCAATTATAATATGTAGGCACGATATGTATACTGTATAGGTATTTACAAATAAGTCTACTTTCATTCTATAATGTCCAATACTATTTTATTTTTCTTAAGATTTGTTTCAATTTTGGTACGAGGTTTATATAAAACCTATATAAGATATAATCTAAATTCTCAACTTATAACTAGGTACCAATAATCAATATATTTATTTTTATGTTTGGTAATTAGCCTTAAATAATTGTAAATTGTAATGTTATAATAGTCTGACATAATATTCATAGTCACAACTCTGCACATGTTTACAACATTCTAATGGTATTATTTATTTTGTATGGATTTTTTTAATGATTTCAATATCAATAATATTTAATATTTTAATCAAATTAAATAATATTAATTAATTACACCAGTTTACATTGTTATAATACTTAACTAGGTACTCGGGTAGGTTTAAGGTTATCCAAGTTAAATGGTTATACTATATTTTTTATTTAAATTGTATACTTTGTGCAGGCTACTATATTATTATACATCAATAAAATACTATGATTTAGTGAATTGATTAAATTATGAAATGTTCAGATTTAATTAATTGCCAGTACCTATGTAGAAATTAGAACACTATAATAAGTAACTGTTTTTTTCTAATTAAACGAAACCAAATTGTACCCACATACACGATACACTTCAACCTCTAAAACTTTTTGGCATTAAATGTTTATTATTTTTTTTTCGTTGGCACTTTTAAAAATGACGTCACCGATGTACAATAGTAATCAAAAACTGTCAATCATCTCCCCCACTGTAAGCCAATCGATTGTTTCACCCTCGCAACCTCATTTTTCAATAGTCATTTCGGTAGATAGTACACAATATTATTAGACATATATGTGTAATTTCCGTTTTGAGAAATGTGCTTCGAGGGGAAACACAATTTCAAAATGATGTAGACTGTCAAGGCGAGTTGATAAATAGAGTTTCACATCAACCACTGCTTCAAAAATGCCTAAAGCAACCGTTTGATATAATGGAATTTACCATCTTTGTGGTATAGTGTATTATGACTACAGTCTACAAGCAAAACTAAAATATTTTTCCAACGTTCTATTTCAGACTTATTGAAAATTATTCCATGCATTTCCAAAATTGTAAAATAAACCCACAGCCTAAGGGAGAATATAGTAATAGACTATATGAAATATAAAAATATATATTTTATTTTAAAAGTTAATAGGGTTGGAATATTTTGTTGCCGCATGAATATAAATATGGTTTTGACATAAAATAAATAATAAAAGTTGAACGAATTCACGGTTAAAATAGAACAACGAAAAGAATTATGACAAGATTTTAAATTAGTATTCATTGTATTATTCCTTTATCGTACAACAAATGAATTACAATACATAAAAATATATAATTTTTCACTCGAATCCGACTGCAAAAACGTTAATGTAATAAAACTATTTTAAATGCTATGCCGGTACTTACCTATATTGCCCGAGTTCTTCTTTTTCCACAAGGAATTAATCATTACTATAACTTCGTCCGTTAATTGTTAACAGAACACGCCGCTTCATCATGAAGATTTACTTGATCGGGTCAGGCCTGTGCGTGGCCACGGTGGCCGCTTGCATGGACGCGACCGGCCGCGAGTGCGGAGATCTAGGGCCGCCGCCGTCTATACTGGACATGCCGCCGCCTCCGATGCCGTCGTTTTTAGCCGCCGTCTTGAACGATCAGTCGGGCAGCAACGAATCGAACTCGCCGAACAAAGAGATGTTGATGGAAACCAATGAACTGGAACCTGGCAAACCCTGCAAAGCCATGTGCGATACCGATCAAGGGGTGGGATTTGTCGAGTTACCACAACAAGGTACATAACATATTATATATTTATGCGACGTGTGACGTGCATTCGTGACACTCGCCCTGGAAATTTTTTAGAATTTGATTCCTATATAGTAATATAATATTATATTGTGTTTGGTTTTAAATATTATTTTGAAAAGTATTGTTATTATTTCGTATATCTATGTATAAAACGTATACCTATATATAAAACGTATACCGTCTTTGGTCGACAATACGATAGCACTTTTTTTTTGTTTATCATCGAGGTGACCATTTTGATTTAGTACAAAAAGTAGGTACCTACAAGAATTTTTAAATAATAATTACGATATACGTCCGTCATTGATGTACACACACACAGACACACTATAACGAAAACTCTTTCCAGGACCTATTATCGAGACGTATTCCTGGTGGATGCTGCTGTCTACGTGCTTGCTCGGAGTGATGCTGATCGGAACAGTCATACTTGTGGTAGTCGTCCGGCTGAGAGAGTGAGTAATAGAAAACAATATGCGTTATTGCGTTTGACACGTGACTAAACGCGCGTTGACGAGATCGAAATAGATTTATCTTAGTATAATCCATATATTATGCACGTACAAAAATTATACTGCCAGTACAAAAAACAATTCAATAGAACATAATATTTTTTACAATATAATCGTACTAGGTACGCCGTAGTTTTAATTTGTATTACTTATTTATTGTTATTAATTTACGATGTGTGCTAGTGCAGTATTTACTATCATTTAAAATAATATAATATGCCTATTGCCTATATATCGATTCGTTTTTAGACATTATTACCTAAAATAGACCCGAGCTCAACGAACGAGAATGGTTGAATTCTATATATTTCTATACACTTATACATCCTTTTGTTTGGGTACAATAATAATTAATAGCACTATAATGAGCACAATATAACACGCGATTCGAGACAATCTCAATAGTTACTTATAATTTTTGAACAAAAAATGTAACATCACATAGGTGAGGTCAGGTTACCTAAACTAACTTAATCTAACCTATACACAGTTTATCGTACGTTATTTGGTCGAGGATAAGAATATAAGCTAATTTTAAAATGACCGATGAGACGTCATACTAAATACATATACCATTACGCCGTTTTGTCCGCAGTAAGAAACGTTGGAGCAAATCGGACTTCAGCCCGGAGCCGAAGAAGAGCCCGCCGCTGTACGACACGATCGACATATCGCCGAAGACGTTTTGGGCCACGCTGTCGCCCACGGGCAACATCGACACGACCGCGGCCACTACCCGGCGACCCGTGCACCACCATCCGCAGACGATCGCCAACCCGAACTTCGAGAACGGCGCCTACTATCCGTACGAGCAGCAACACGAGTACCAGCAGATCACCACCATCCGCCGCGCCATGCCCGAGTACCAGACCATCAGACCACACGTGTCGTCGCCCACGCGCATCGAGCATCCCAACATGCCGCCGCTGAACCTGTACAGATCGATTCGCCGGATTTCGGATCTGGAATCGCCGTGATCCGCCCCGGCGAACGGCGGCGGCGGCGGTCGCTCGGTCGCCGACGATCGTAATAATATCGATCAATACGATATCGTGCGCGCGCTACGAGTGTAATAATAATAATAATAATAATAATGATGATACAGTAAAACCTCGCTAAGACGGAATCGCCTGGAACCGTCCAATTTTCCCGGATTTTCCGACTTGACGGGGTTCGCGTTCATATTGTGCATCAATTGAATCGGGACCAAAAAAAATTGTCCGCGTCGCCGGGGTTTCCGTCTTACCGAGGTTCCGTCGTTTTACTGTTTTACTGCATTTTAGAAATCCCGCCGGAGTCCGACGACAATATAAATAATATCATTATAATATTATTATTATTCCGTTAACGCATTTTGGCGACCGCCGTCGCCAAACCGAGACGTCTCTGGTATCGTCCAAAATTTTTTTCAAGTCCCGGAAGTCGTCGTATTCACATTATAAATAATGTTATGCGCATTATGACGTAGATAACAATATATTATAACATGATATTATGCTCCGGTTACCCCGAATCGTGTTTATTCGACAATTATTACGTGTGCGTTGACCTGTACATTTGACAGAAGAAAAAGGAATTCCTTGACGCTCTACTCGCGTACCGTCGTTATATTTATAGTCAGAGTATAATATATTATAATATTTTATAGGCAAAATGTAGTACATAACGTGCATGATATTATACACTCACTGTATATAATATTATCGTGTATAGATAAGGCTTACTTATATATCTCGTGAATCTAAATGTATCTCTCTACGACGTCCCCCCGAAACTCGAATATTTATTTTTTTCTCATATTTTATCAACAAACTTTTGTGTTTTCGACGAATTCAATCGTTCGGAATAATCGTACGGCACGGTAAACATGACAATAAGAAGAAACGCATTGCAAGATACATAAATCAGCATACGCCTTATTGTGCCGTGTTCAAAATTGAACGACGTTTTTTTTTTTTTAGTTTTACACACCAGTAACTCCCATTATAATATAATACTATACACGACGTAGGGTGGAATGTAAACACCGAAATTGATGTTTCATTTTCGAACAGCGTTCGGCTTAATACACGTCTTTGCGAATTCGCATGGTAAAAAATTAGGTACCTTAACATTTTGTAACCAACGGTGAAAACTCACTGTTTTTTTTTTTTTGTTCTTTTCAAGTTTCAATATTGATGTTTCGACAAAACCGTCTAGTCCTTAAGTTAAGTACCCACTTTTAGTCGAACAATTATTATAAGCCAGTAAGCCACTACTACAATGACCCAATTTAATAACCGTTTACCTGTTTTATACACATATGATGGAAAACGGCCGAGGTGACCACAATATTGATGGGTATTTTTTGATTTATCGTATAGACTTGTAGCTGTGAACTAAGATTTCGAATAGGTACTGCGCTCCTTTACCATTATACCTGCAATGACTGAAATATTTTTTTATACAGATTGTCAATACTTTAACGTGCTTATGGTTTTCACCCAAGTTATCTAAGACATTATTTCATATTATATTATTATATCTAAGAATGCCACTTGTAATTTTTGTTTTAATTATGTATGGTATAATTTAGCTGTTATATTATTGTTTTTGTTGATGTTTTATTCGTTTATTTGTTTGTTTATTTTTTTCGTAAACTATATCATCGTGTATAAATTTTGATATACTTAAAATGAAAACTAATAGTTTTATACGCATAAGATTAAATTGTATGTACCTAGATGAATGCAATAAAAGGCATTATTAATACTCATTAAATAATAATATTATGTCCTTGTTGGTCTAAAGTAAAAAACAAAAAAAAAAAAACAGCAAATGTTTGAAACGGCCGCGTCGGCTGTGAAATACGAAATTATTATGAAATGGAGCTTATTCCGTGCTAAAAAAAAAAAACGCTCATAGATGAGATGCCTATCGTTTACGTTACGAGTTATTTTTATATATTTCTCCTACGAGTGCCGTGTACCACGTCGACGAAAACATATTAATACGACATTATTGTATATGATTATTATAATATTACAATATTCGTGTTGTACCCGCGGAATCGAATGCAAATCGTCAATTTCGTAACCGTGTATTCGTTATTATACGCGGGTAAATTGGCAAGGGTTCTTCCCACAAAGGGCGCCAACGTCTATAAATAGAAGCTATCCTACGACAGATACTACTCACTATATAGACTAAGCCACACACACATCGGTTACAGACGCACGCAGTTGTCTGCTGACGTGCGTAAAGTGAACACCCGACAATATAAAATGAATACACAAAAACGCGACATCGTCCCATCGCCGCACGAAACGGATTCGTGACGTTATTTTCCAAGTACCTAGTCTGTTTCATCGCGAAATAGGTAATATAAATAATAATACGAATCCCACCCCCGCAATATGAACATACTCTTCCGGAAGAATTTCCAGGCGGAAGGCTCCTCCAAGGAGAGGAGCTATTCCAGCGGCCTGGGCAGGAGAACGCCCAGCGGCAACACCAATGCACTGGGAACCGTGCGGAGGACCAGGGAATCCAGGTTAGCAGCTGTTGACCGTAATCGATAAGGATTATTATTATATTTTACGGTTGCCGTCCCACGTCCCACCGATTCACCCCTCGGCATTACAATAATATATATTAACACATCTGTTCGTTAGGGTGTTGAAACCGGTTTTTCACGACCCTGCGAGAGGATTAGAGACAAATTAGGCGTGAAGTAAATTGAATAATAAGCAAAAATCTATTATGTGACAAGATAATAATTACAACAATGATTGCTCAATATTTGACCTTCCTATGAATACGCAACAATAATAATTATCATTATAAAAGTACTATTCTTTATTATTGGTTATCACCTATATCAAACATCTTCAGTACTTTTAGATTCAATTTATTAGATACACGCAATTAGTTTTATGCGAGTTATGTAACTAATAACCTACATCAGGTTTACTAAATAATTAAATAATTTGTATCCATTTTTACAAATATGTTAAGTATAGTATAATTCCAATTTGTTAATCTAGTAAAAGAGTTAATCAATATAAAATGCTATAATATACACTTAGTAAAGTTATAATAATACCCATATAATATATATTATTAAATATTATATATATATTTAAGATTTATATTAAATATGTATTCTCAACAATAAATAATAAGATATAATAATTTGCTTTAATTACAAAACAATTATTAAAAGTAAGTCGCAAATTTTTCACCGAAAATTAAGACTTATAACGTCAACTAGAGCCTGTACCAGTAGTTAAAAATTAAATACCTATATAGGTATTTCTGTTTTAATTTTTTAACATTTAAATGTAAATGCGCTATTTCATAATAAACATAAAAATTGTGTTCCTCATTTTCTTCTCGGCAAAGCTAAATAACAGTTCAATGATCTTATATTTGAATTTATTACGGTGTTTTTATACTTTTATAGTTTTATGTATTTAAAATGCAAATATTAGCTCACGTTCGTATCAGCCATCAGGTAAATTATATCCCGATCTTAGTTGGATAATATTTAAAATTAAATGAATGGAAGTTAATTTTAATTATGATTAATCTATTAAAATTAAATGAATGGAAGTTAATTTTAATTATGATTAATCTAACTGTACGAATTTTTATCTCATCGTAAATAATAAGGTAAGTAAGAATTACTTTTTTAGGACCCCAAGTGAGCCCTTTTGATATTTAAATTTTAAAGTTATGAGCATTTTAAAATGTACAACAAATATTTGTAATAGGTATGCAGTTTTAAAATGCTCACAACTTGTTTTAAAATTTAAATTTAAAAAAAAAGACTATTGGGGGCAATGGGGCACTAAATAATGTTATTAACCTTAAATTTAAGGCCAATTCACTCTAATATCAATAAGATAACAGAGACACAGAGTAAAATTTGCTATATGCCATGAGTTTATGACGTTATCGTTATGCTTTAGTAAAACAGAGCGACACACACTAGGGTACGACCGTGACATCCTCTTTAAACATTATACTTATAAAAATAAATATATATATTTTGCAATATACAATTTAAAACTATTAAAACGACTATAATATATTATGCAAATACTGAGTTTAAACCTTTAGCCCCCCCTTCACCCCTACAAATGGGTCTAGGGACACCCCTGACCGGACTTGATGTGTTTCTCAACTGTCCGTCCGCGTCCAAGCTGATGTTGTGACAATACAGGTGTTCGATGATGATCGACTCGGATCATACTTGTCCGTTTAGGACCCACATACTCCTGGGTCACGCAAACTTCCCACAGGAGTTTGAGGACTTCGTCGGGCCACCTTTGCTGGCGCAACCCAAACCCACCTCGGCCGTCCCGCTCATACGGTGGATCCGGAGGAAACAGTCCACGGGGAAGGCCGAGACGATCGTCACCAACACGCCACAATTCACGAACGCCACGGGGACCAGTGCGAACGTGGCCAGCAGCTCGGTCAACAACAATCCAATTGACAAGGTTCGGCGTTTGTTTAGTAAATTTAAGAGGACGCCAGAACGCCACACACCCATCATAAATTTTTAAAATGTTTATAAAAAACGGTTTCAAGCGATAAAGCACCACTTGGGCTACAGTTATACAATTTGTACACGATACACGTTCATATATATTTTGCTTGTTTTATTTTGATGATATCAATAAATCGTTATATAGAAAATGTTATCGTTAAATTAAACATCATTGTATGTGTATTGATACTATTAATAATATCGAAAAAATAAAACAGCAAAATATAATATTTTCTTCTGTAGGTACCTATATCATGTATAATTATGGTTTCTTAATAAAATTATGACCTGTGTGATTGTTCTTGTGATTGTGATTGTTCCGAAACTGCTTAACAGTATATTATATAATTTCGTATTTATACCACAACCAATAATGGTGCCGACATGGAACCACGTATAAATTACTTTGAATTAGTATTTAATCGCCTATATTATTAATATTTTTAATTTTCTCAAAATTTCATTAAAATTGCCTACTTAAATGCCAAACCTCTTCAAAACCGGGTGTGTGGTGCCCTCTTGAAGTCACTGCAGTGTATATAATATATATTATTATAATATTTTATGATATTTATTTACGCATTACACAAGACCGTCGAGGACGTTTTAGTCATTAATTTATGAACATGTATCTATACGTTTTACTAATTACTATATGAGACAATATTGGGAAGTTGGACTTGACGCAATACTTTTCCGATTCATAACATTATACTGTATATTTATAATAATTGTCCTGCATGATCAGTATGGAGTCGATATAGCCCTAAGGCTTAAATATATTTGTCTCGAAATTTAATATCACGCATGCAAACTACAGTATAAACAATTTTTCGAAACATTTTGTACATTACAATTATTATATTATAACGTAAAAGTATAATAAACTGTTGATATAATATGAATATTAGTGATTTTCTTTATTACGATGGCGCAAAATATTAATCGATTTGTGATTGCCATTTATTTTTTAATCAAGCTTATAAATAATATTAAGGAAAAAATAATCAATTCATGCTGCTGGAAAGCTTCTCCGAGCTTATACTACGATTTATATACTGTATAATATATTCGACTCGATTTTCTAATAAAATAACTCCGACGTTATAATTTGCATAATCAAATGGCAGTCCGTCGCAAAAAAAAAATAAACAGTCGTTATGGCTCTTACTTATACCTACTAAAACGGTGGTTCAATAAGCGAATGTCTACCCTGTATTTTTCTTATACTCATCTAGATTATGATGGTAATTTTCGTTCCCTCTATTTTCTCATTCTTTTATCGAAATAGAAATATTATACATTCGCTTTCGTGGTTATTATTTTGTTCGCAAAAAAAAAATGTCCGTCTACAAATTACCACTTTCAGAATTGCAGAGGTCGCCATGGTTCGTATTCTACACTAAATAATCCCACTGGTACAAACGGTCATAGTACGCTCCATATAAGAAAAGTCGATTCGGCGAGTATTGCCAACATGGACAAAGATTGTTTCATCATACCAATCGCTTATTTGGACCGATTCCTACCCGACGGGGTCAACGTACGTGCAGCTTTGCTTATAACTTATAAGTAATTCAACGGTCATTTAAATATGTTGTCACTTATGGCGTGTATATACTATTCTAGCTCCCCACGACGCCAAATCCAAACAAAACCAATGCTCTAAATATGGTCGAAGTAGACGACCCGAAAACTTGCCTCATGTTTCACATGATGACCACGTTGGAACCGATCGATCCTGTTTTAGAATCTCCTTTGTCGGATCCAATGGCCAGACAAACGGCAGCTGCTTGTGCCCTGCTTACAGAAATAGCAGCAACAAAAGTAGCTTCGGAGGGCATGTTGCTGGCAAATTTAGAAAAAGACGGTAATACCTATTCACTTAAACAGTCAACTAGAAATGTCTTAATTCTTTAATACACGAAAAGTGTATACGCATTACGCACATATGTTCTTGTATAATGCTTATTAATTACTCAGTACTCTCTATTTCTTGCAGAAAACGTCCATCAAATAGTCAAAACTCAATATTTTTCATGTTGAACAAATAATATAAATTCATAGAGTTTTCTCAAGAAACTACCAAATATATTTTTTTAAACACGTTTTTATGTTATTCTATATTTAAACGAATTGTTGAGCTATTAAATTACTTAAAGCTATATGTATATTAATATTATTTTTGTTTATGTTGCTGCCTTACATGTTTTTATTTACAATGTTTCGACCGATCAATCTTTAATAAATAAATTATTAAGTAGGTATTGGTATAGATTATAGAACAATGATAAAAAATATACAATATACCTAAGTCATTGTAAATATAATACATAATATTATAGTTTAGAATCTTATATTGGTATCTATTATTTAGTACGATTTGGGGATTTAATATATTTCATTTAAAAACTAAAAACACAATATACCACCGTCCACCAGTAATAATATTATTATTGTGCATATTAATAATTGTTATATACATGAAGTATAGGTACCTACCTATATTTTCGTCGTACTTTTCTTGCTTACTGTTTTAGGATATAGGTAGATTAAAATTAGTATATGCATAAATTTATTTACCGTACCTATACTCCGTATATAATACATTAGTTATGTTAAATTAAATAAACAATATTAATATTATTATGCTAATTATTGAACGTTGTTTATTCTCGACCCAGCCGTGTTCCCGTTCATTACATATTACGTGCTGAATAAGTCATCGGTCTCCAATCCCCGTGAAGTGGCTGTGAACGTTCGGAACACGACTCTGAAAAAATTCGACCCCCGGGTCATCAAGCACACCACCGATCATACGTTCGACTTGTTCACCGAAGTGGCCAACATCGTGTGCCCGCCAATGAGCCAGTCGAAGAGGCCTAGGGGCACGCACACCGCTTACATCATATCCGTGTACAAAGTATTCGACGGCGACGACAGTGAAAAGTTCGAGAAACACTGGCTTTATTGGACAGGTATTGTTATACCAATAATTTACATTATATTGTATTATTATTATGTAATATCGTATAATTATTATTATAAATTATAATAAAATACAATTGTACTCGGGCCTACCTATAACATTGAGCGCGGGTGTAGTTTTGACTTAAGAGGATGTCAGCGCACACTGTTTGTTTACAGAAAATAATATTTTTGAGGGTATGGTACATCGGTAATCGGTTTGTCTAATAATTATTATCTCAAAACAATTTAAGCAAAATTTAAAATTACAAAAAAAAAACCTATTATGTTGAAAGTCGAATACAAAGTCAAATATTAATAAAATATAACCGATAATTATGTCAAATCCTCAAACTTATATTATCTTCTATACCTAATGTTTTTAATAGATGATTCTACTCTGAGATTACTCAAAATACATAAAATACTATTGTAGGTGAAAGCGTTTTATCTATGTAGCGCGTGGGTCTGCAGAGAGAGAAAACCAAATATACTGCTCTGACATCCTCTTAAGGGGATTGGAAGCGGTGATTTTCTGTCTTTGTCTAACACACGTGGAACTTAGGAATTTAGACGAGTTTTCATTCTAACGATTGATCTAGTGAAGCGATAAGAATTTTAAAAACAAATTTGAATCTATTGCCACGTCTAATTGAGATCAACTTTCCCATATTTTAGATTTTATCCCCCTAAATCCTAAAAAAAATTCGTACTAAAAAAGGAAATGGAATATTTAAAATTTTGGAGAAGTTAAAATAAAAAAAAGGTGGGTAAGTGGATGTCGCTCTGCTGTACAGTAGGTTACAAGTGGGTCACTGTATAATTGATGCTATTAAATTTGAATTCAATGATACAATATCATTGTATAAGAAAAACGATTCTGAGCGAAGACGGTATGTCAGTCTAGGTTAAGACAAATTATATACATATCTATGGTATTAAAAAAAAATTGACCTATAATAAATTCCAAATTAATCATATCACATTATCACAATATCCATTAGGTACTTATAACACGTTATACACCAACAACAAACCCTGATACTATCATATATATATAATAGTACACTTTAGAAGTTTCAAGTAGGTACCCACGAATAATATTATATAATCACAACAAAATAACTAGGTTTTTTAATATGAAATTTCGTCCAAATTTGAACATAAAATGACTATAAAAATAAACTGTGATTGTATATTTTTTAGATTTTTCGGTAAGAGAATTAACTACTTACGTGAAATCTTGTTTTAAATTTTCAATCCTTAGCTATAAAAACTGAACATTTTATAATTTATTAATTACGATGATTGATAATTTTCGAGATTTTGATAAATTTTGTCAAAATTCGATGTTAAAATGCTTATAAAAAAAATTGTGCCTATGTATTTTTAATATTTTTCAACTGATATTGTAACAATATATCAGGAGCCTTGTATTAAATTTTTACACTTTTTGGCCCAACAGATAAAACTTAATTGATATTTATAGAAAAAAAAAACTAAAAAAAATGAAAACTGAAAATGTCCGTAAACGGCTCAAAAAGAGTCAAAATATTTTCAAAATTGTATGATGTATAGGAAATGCTAATATAAACATTCAGTGAAATTTTCATGTATCTACAGTAATTCGTTTTTGAATTACAACAAAATAAGGAAATCGCCACATGAGAAATCGAGTGAATATCCAATGTTGTAAAAATTTGAATTTCAAACGCTCATAAAAATTTAATTTGACTTTCCGGTAGAGATTTTTTTATTGATAAAGGTAGACAATCTTATGAGTAATCTTGTATTAGATTTTCAAATCTTAGATTTAAAAAGAAAAATTTTGACGAATTCTTAACTCAAAATAATTTGCTAATTTTCGTGATTTTTCCATATTTTGTCAATTTTTGAACTTTAAATGCTTATAAAAAAAAACTGTGACTAAGGATTTTTAATATTTTTCATCTGCCTTTGAAACAATATATTAGGAGCCTTCTATTAAATTTTCAAGCTTTCGCAACCAACAAATAAAATTTTATTGATATTTCTAGAAAAAAAACTAAAAAAAAACTAAAAATGAAAATGTCCCTAAACTGTTCAAAATAAATCAAAATATTTTGAAAATGTTATCGTGTATAGAAGATGCAAATATAAACAACCAGTGAAAATTGCATGTACCTACGGTCATTTGTTTTAAAGTTACACCAAAAACCAAATTCAATTTTCTGAAAAATCGATTTTGCGTAAAAATTCCCGTTTTTCCTTAATTTTTCTTTTGTTTTTCCCGGCGCTCTTGAAAACTACTGGGAAATTGAAATTTTGACCTCCCCAATGCACCAACGATATTCACTTTCCAATCGAACAAGATACTGAAGTCGAAAATCGAAGCATTATTTCGACTACTTATCGTGTACACAGACACAAAAAAAATAAATAAAAAATAAAAAAAAAAATTAAAATTAAAAAAAATTAAAAAAAACACACACATCATTGTAAAATCAATACATTCATCGTTTCACTCAGAATCTAAAATAAAAAATATGGGAAATTCCGTCTCAATTGAACTTGACGTCAAATTCAAATCTGTTTTTAGAAATCGTATCGCTTCACTAGATCAATCGGTACGTTCAACGTTGTAATTAAAACGTCTAAATTCTCATGTTCCAACTTCCAAGTGTGTTGGACAAAGACAGAAAATCACAGCTTCCAATCCCCTTAAGAGGACTCTACACAGATATTTGTTGTCTCCGTCTTACAAGTGAATAACACAGCAAATTTACGCTCAGCAAATCACGTTTAACTCGGTTAGTTTGAAAATTAGAGTCAATCGACCTATTATGAAACTTGATGGTAAGAACATTATCTGTGTTTGTATGTGGGTTTTTTACGATAGTTAATTTTTTTAGTAAATTATTCGTATATAATATAGCGCAAATTAAAAATGCTCATAACTCACTTAAATACTGAACTATCGTAAAAAATCCCACACAAAAACACAGATAATGTCCTTACCATCAAGTTTCATAATAGGTCGAATCACTTAAATTTTTAAACTAACTGAGCTAAACGCGTTCTCCTGAGCGTAAATTTGCTACGTTACGCTGCACTTGTGAGACGAGTGCAACAAATGGCCGTGTAGGGTCCTCTTGAAATATTGTGTTGATCACGTGTGTGTTTGAATGCCCCAACAACGCGTTTCAGGCGCACGCATGATCTACAACTATCTACCGAAATCTGCCGGTTTGAGGAGGATAACGTTACACAAGTCGCAATCGAACGGCGACAAACAGTACGTGCTCATGTGCGAATGTGCCAATTTACTACAAGACTTCACGTCCGTCGCCAAGTTACTGCCGGCGCTCAAGGCTAGACTGTGCGGTTGCACTGGAGTGTACCGATCTATATTCATAATTTAATATTTAAATATAAAATAATTTGTACTGTAACATGATATACCTACTGATACCGAAGGGCGTCCATAGGGTAATAATCAGGGGGTGGGGCAAAATTAAACTTAAAATTATTCGTTCCGTCAAAATGTTTAAAAATGTAATACCAGATTCCTCATAAGTTTTTTTATTTTTATTATAGCTTTATAAATATTAACGATACATAGGCACGATTATTTTTTGTAAGCATTTAAAGTTCAAATTTGGTTCAAACCTTGGTTAATTTATAGTTAAAAATGTATAATATAATAAATCTGTATGTTTAAGGCTAGACAATTGAAACGTGATAAAATAATATTAATTTTTCTAAGTAATAGTGATACAGGCAAGGGGGGGGCTGAAGCCCGTTAGCCCCTGCGTCACTATTGAAAGTGATAAGTATTAAGCAAAAGTTCATGGTATCAAGTATGAAATAAGTACAATATAAATTATAAATTCAAAGCATAAACATCATTTTTTTTTTTGCTTACTTTATTATTTTTCAGTGGGACATCAGGACATGCCCCCCTTGCTCTCCCACCAATGGGCGCCCTTGCTGATACCGCAATATAACACACTTGTGCGTATATTATATTGACGATTAATATCGTCGCGGTCGCGGTAATCACGCATGCATTACCATAGCAAAGACAACCAGTGTGGGTAATTAAACAAGATTTTCCAATAAGTACTCCAAAATGTATACGATATAATATAGTTACCTACTTACAATTTATAGTCCTTATACATAAATAATTATAAGTATTATTATTATTATTATTATACGATGCACGTATAACTTGTGTACAAATTAAACGATTATTGTATTTTATAAATGAGATTTTTAATTATTACCATATTATTTTACACATATTACTCGAGTTGACACTAATAATATTAGTAGGTACAGTACCTATCACCTACCTACGCGGATCAAACTGACCCAATTTTCCGACAGTCAACTCGGCGACAATTATCGGAAAATTGGCAAAGGGGGGCCAAAACTTGTTAAAAAGTTAAAGTTAAGTTTTTTCGCAAAAATGTATACATAATAATAAATATATTGCCAGACAGCTGGCTCAACGAATAATAATATAATAAGTAGGTATACTCACAAGTCACAATATGACGTTTAAGGTGTGAAGACTGGGCAGCCGCACATGTACCTATTGACTATTCCATAGTAATAGAATGCACCACTGTACAACTAATAAATAATAATAATTATCACAATAATACAACAGCGATTAGCGCTCACAAATAATTACTGCGTTTATATGATGGCGTTAAAACGGTATAAAACTAAACCGTTTTGAAATTTAACGCTATTGACTAATTAACGCTATGTAGTTTAAGAATTTAAAAGCGTTTAATTTGCTTAAACGTTTATATGATACAAAATGAGTGGGCCTATAGGGTAGAGTGTCCACTGTCCGGTTACTGAACACCCGCCAGTTATTGAACAAAGTTTAGTTATATTTACAATTTAAGGAATCAGTCTGGTTAAATCAAGTAATAATAAATTAATTAAATATCTAACATTATATTCAAACTGTAAACAAACGATCTAATACTTCATGTATGATAGTAATCCGAACTGATAACAGCTGAAAATCACTGTCACATTTGTTTGGAAACCAAGGTCAAAAGTCTAAATAGGTAGCTTTGAATTTTTTTGTGGAAACTACATAATTTTTTTTATACTTTTTATATCATAAAATAAATGGTTTCATTGTATATAACACAACATTCTGAACCATTTTACAGTTTCAAATGTATTAAAAATATGTTTAATTCTCATTTAATTGAGTGTTCAATTACTGGACACATAAATTCAGTAGTATCTAGTTATTGAATGGGTGTTCAATTACTGGTATTTTAACCTAAAATCAGATTTGTCTCAAATTTTGCACACATTAAATAACTAAGTCGAGGAATATTTTTGTTTATATGACATATAGTTCTTAAATGAATATATCCAGTAATTTAACAGGTATTCTCTACTATATTTTTTGGATGCGTTAAGACTTATCTATGAATTAATTGATTAATTTATCGTCTGCGACTCTTAGGATCATTATTGGATAAAAATATATTGATATTTAATAGAAATTAGGTATTCAGTTTTAAAACATGTACTAAATATCTATATGTAGTTTAAAATATCATAATATACCTATACCTAGGTAAAATGCAAAAAACATAATTATTTTTATTTTTAAAAAACAATATAGGTACCTAACCTATTAATTATTATTATTAAAAACAATATAGGTACCTAACCTATTATTATTTGAGAAACTAGATTTTAATTGGTTCTGCATACTTGAAGTAAATTTTAAAGTTTAATAAATTAATTTTTTATTACAAACTAAATAATTTAGGTAGTTAAAATATTATAAAATTACATTTGAATTGTACTTGCATGTTTTGATTTTCATATAAATATAATTTAAATATTTAAATTGAATATTGTTAATTTATTTAAAATATAACCATTAACCATGCATATGGAAAATAAATATTTTTTGTTTTTAAATAAAGTACCTATTGTAAAATATATAATACTTTATTAAATTGAAAAACAATGTGTTAAATTCAGTGAACCATGAATTCAAATTAAATTAATTTTTTTTTATTCACTGTTCTATGAGAAATTGATTGAATAACCTACAACAAAAGGCTAAAATAGGCTAAAAATAACCTACAAGAGATTGAAAATAAAATAAATATAGATATAGAAAATAAGACTACAAATAGTTTAAGTGAAGCAATTGAAGAGACTGAAAATAACATAAATATAGGTATAGAAAATAAGGCTCCAAAGAATGTAAGTGAAACAACTTCTACAAAACTTGCTGAATCCTGGGGAAAACATTTATTTTGGCCAAGATCTGATATTAAAAAAGGAAATATAAGAGAACAAATAAAGCTGCTATTTTCTGTCACATCAGTTAAGTGAACAGAACATCATGCAATAAAAGAAAAAGAAAAACGAGAAGAGGAACTACCACAAAAAAGAAAACGAAGAGAGGATCTTCAAATTGCTAGTAAAATATATAAAATGTATTTTTTACATTTTTTGGTAACAGAATTAACTACTTACGTGGAATCTTGTTTAAATGTTCAATCCTTAGGTATAAAAGTTAAACATTTTATACGTGTTTAACTATAAAATAATTATTCAATTTTAAATTTGATAAATTTTGTCAAAATGCAATCTTTAAATGCTTATAAGAAAAATTGTGCCTATGTATTTTAAATATTTTTCAACTGATATTGTAACAATATATCAGGAGCCTTGTATTAAATTTTTACACTTTTTGGCCAAACAGATAAAACTTTATTGATATTTATTGAAAAAAAAACTAAAAAAATTGAAAACTGAAAATGTCCGTAAACGGCTCAAAAAGAGTCAAAATATTTTCAAAATTGTATGATGTATAGGAAATGCTAATATAAACATTCAGTGAAATTTTCATGTATCTACAGTAATTCGTTTTTGAATTACAACAAAATAAGGAAATCGCCACATGAGAAATCGAGTGAATATCCAATGTTGTAAAAATTTGAATTTCAAACGCTCATAAAAATTTAATTTGACTTTCCGGTAGAGATTTTTTTATTGATAAAGGTAGACAATCTTATGAGTAATCTTGTATTAGATTTTCAAATCTTAGATTTAAAAAGAAAAATTTTGACGAATTCTTAACTCAAAATAATTTGCTAATTTTCGTGATTTTTCCATATTTTGTCAATTTTTGAACTTTAAATGCTTATAAAAAAAAACTGTGACTAAGGATTTTTAATATTTTTCATCTGCCTTTGAAACAATATATTAGGAGCCTTCTATTAAATTTTCAAGCTTTCGCAACCAACAAATAAAATTTTATTGATATTTCTAGAAAAAAAACTAAAAAAAAACTAAAAATGAAAATGTCCCTAAACTGTTCAAAATAAATCAAAATATTTTGAAAATGTTATCGTGTATAGAAGATGCAAATATAAACAACCAGTGAAAATTGCATGTACCTACGGTCATTTGTTTTAAAGTTACACCAAAAACCAAATTCAATTTTCTGAAAAATCGATTTTGCGTAAAAATTCCCGTTTTTCCTTAATTTTTCTTTTGTTTTTCCCGGCGCTCTTGAAAACTACTGGGAAATTGAAATTTTGACCTCCCCAATGCACCAACGATATTCACTTTCCAATCGAACAAGATACTGAAGTCGAAAATCGAAGCATTATTTCGACTACTTATCGTGTACACAGACACAAAAAAAATAAATAAAAAATAAAAAAAAAAATTAAAATTAAAAAAAATTAAAAAAAACACACACATCATTGTAAAATCAATACATTCATCGTTTCACTCAGAATCTAAAATAAAAAATATGGGAAATTCCGTCTCAATTGAACTTGACGTCAAATTCAAATCTGTTTTTAGAAATCGTATCGCTTCACTAGATCAATCGGTACGTTCAACGTTGTAATTAAAACGTCTAAATTCTCATGTTCCAACTTCCAAGTGTGTTGGACAAAGACAGAAAATCACAGCTTCCAATCCCCTTAAGAGGACTCTACACAGATATTTGTTGTCTCCGTCTTACAAGTGAATAACACAGCAAATTTACGCTCAGCAAATCACGTTTAACTCGGTTAGTTTGAAAATTAGAGTCAATCGACCTATTATGAAACTTGATGGTAAGAACATTATCTGTGTTTGTATGTGGGTTTTTTACGATAGTTAATTTTTTTAGTAAATTATTCGTATATAATATAGCGCAAATTAAAAATGCTCATAACTCACTTAAATACTGAACTATCGTAAAAAATCCCACACAAAAACACAGATAATGTCCTTACCATCAAGTTTCATAATAGGTCGAATCACTTAAATTTTTAAACTAACTGAGCTAAACGCGTTCTCCTGAGCGTAAATTTGCTACGTTACGCTGCACTTGTGAGACGAGTGCAACAAATGGCCGTGTAGGGTCCTCTTGAAATATTGTGTTGATCACGTGTGTGTTTGAATGCCCCAACAACGCGTTTCAGGCGCACGCATGATCTACAACTATCTACCGAAATCTGCCGGTTTGAGGAGGATAACGTTACACAAGTCGCAATCGAACGGCGACAAACAGTACGTGCTCATGTGCGAATGTGCCAATTTACTACAAGACTTCACGTCCGTCGCCAAGTTACTGCCGGCGCTCAAGGCTAGACTGTGCGGTTGCACTGGAGTGTACCGATCTATATTCATAATTTAATATTTAAATATAAAATAATTTGTACTGTAACATGATATACCTACTGATACCGAAGGGCGTCCATAGGGTAATAATCAGGGGGTGGGGCAAAATTAAACTTAAAATTATTCGTTCCGTCAAAATGTTTAAAAATGTAATACCAGATTCCTCATAAGTTTTTTTATTTTTATTATAGCTTTATAAATATTAACGATACATAGGCACGATTATTTTTTGTAAGCATTTAAAGTTCAAATTTGGTTCAAACCTTGGTTAATTTATAGTTAAAAATGTATAATATAATAAATCTGTATGTTTAAGGCTAGACAATTGAAACGTGATAAAATAATATTAATTTTTCTAAGTAATAGTGATACAGGCAAGGGGGGGGCTGAAGCCCGTTAGCCCCTGCGTCACTATTGAAAGTGATAAGTATTAAGCAAAAGTTCATGGTATCAAGTATGAAATAAGTACAATATAAATTATAAATTCAAAGCATAAACATCATTTTTTTTTTTGCTTACTTTATTATTTTTCAGTGGGACATCAGGACATGCCCCCCTTGCTCTCCCACCAATGGGCGCCCTTGCTGATACCGCAATATAACACACTTGTGCGTATATTATATTGACGATTAATATCGTCGCGGTCGCGGTAATCACGCATGCATTACCATAGCAAAGACAACCAGTGTGGGTAATTAAACAAGATTTTCCAATAAGTACTCCAAAATGTATACGATATAATATAGTTACCTACTTACAATTTATAGTCCTTATACATAAATAATTATAAGTATTATTATTATTATTATTATACGATGCACGTATAACTTGTGTACAAATTAAACGATTATTGTATTTTATAAATGAGATTTTTAATTATTACCATATTATTTTACACATATTACTCGAGTTGACACTAATAATATTAGTAGGTACAGTACCTATCACCTACCTACGCGGATCAAACTGACCCAATTTTCCGACAGTCAACTCGGCGACAATTATCGGAAAATTGGCAAAGGGGGGCCAAAACTTGTTAAAAAGTTAAAGTTAAGTTTTTTCGCAAAAATGTATACATAATAATAAATATATTGCCAGACAGCTGGCTCAACGAATAATAATATAATAAGTAGGTATACTCACAAGTCACAATATGACGTTTAAGGTGTGAAGACTGGGCAGCCGCACATGTACCTATTGACTATTCCATAGTAATAGAATGCACCACTGTACAACTAATAAATAATAATAATTATCACAATAATACAACAGCGATTAGCGCTCACAAATAATTACTGCGTTTATATGATGGCGTTAAAACGGTATAAAACTAAACCGTTTTGAAATTTAACGCTATTGACTAATTAACGCTATGTAGTTTAAGAATTTAAAAGCGTTTAATTTGCTTAAACGTTTATATGATACAAAATGAGTGGGCCTATAGGGTAGAGTGTCCACTGTCCGGTTACTGAACACCCGCCAGTTATTGAACAAAGTTTAGTTATATTTACAATTTAAGGAATCAGTCTGGTTAAATCAAGTAATAATAAATTAATTAAATATCTAACATTATATTCAAACTGTAAACAAACGATCTAATACTTCATGTATGATAGTAATCCGAACTGATAACAGCTGAAAATCACTGTCACATTTGTTTGGAAACCAAGGTCAAAAGTCTAAATAGGTAGCTTTGAATTTTTTTGTGGAAACTACATAATTTTTTTTATACTTTTTATATCATAAAATAAATGGTTTCATTGTATATAACACAACATTCTGAACCATTTTACAGTTTCAAATGTATTAAAAATATGTTTAATTCTCATTTAATTGAGTGTTCAATTACTGGACACATAAATTCAGTAGTATCTAGTTATTGAATGGGTGTTCAATTACTGGTATTTTAACCTAAAATCAGATTTGTCTCAAATTTTGCACACATTAAATAACTAAGTCGAGGAATATTTTTGTTTATATGACATATAGTTCTTAAATGAATATATCCAGTAATTTAACAGGTATTCTCTACTATATTTTTTGGATGCGTTAAGACTTATCTATGAATTAATTGATTAATTTATCGTCTGCGACTCTTAGGATCATTATTGGATAAAAATATATTGATATTTAATAGAAATTAGGTATTCAGTTTTAAAACATGTACTAAATATCTATATGTAGTTTAAAATATCATAATATACCTATACCTAGGTAAAATGCAAAAAACATAATTATTTTTATTTTTAAAAAACAATATAGGTACCTAACCTATTAATTATTATTATTAAAAACAATATAGGTACCTAACCTATTATTATTTGAGAAACTAGATTTTAATTGGTTCTGCATACTTGAAGTAAATTTTAAAGTTTAATAAATTAATTTTTTATTACAAACTAAATAATTTAGGTAGTTAAAATATTATAAAATTACATTTGAATTGTACTTGCATGTTTTGATTTTCATATAAATATAATTTAAATATTTAAATTGAATATTGTTAATTTATTTAAAATATAACCATTAACCATGCATATGGAAAATAAATATTTTTTGTTTTTAAATAAAGTACCTATTGTAAAATATATAATACTTTATTAAATTGAAAAACAATGTGTTAAATTCAGTGAACCATGAATTCAAATTAAATTAATTTTTTTTTATTCACTGTTCTATGAGAAATTGATTGAATAACCTACAACAAAAGGCTAAAATAGGCTAAAAATAACCTACAAGAGATTGAAAATAAAATAAATATAGATATAGAAAATAAGACTACAAATAGTTTAAGTGAAGCAATTGAAGAGACTGAAAATAACATAAATATAGGTATAGAAAATAAGGCTCCAAAGAATGTAAGTGAAACAACTTCTACAAAACTTGCTGAATCCTGGGGAAAACATTTATTTTGGCCAAGATCTGATATTAAAAAAGGAAATATAAGAGAACAAATAAAGCTGCTATTTTCTGTCACATCAGTTAAGTGAACAGAACATCATGCAATAAAAGAAAAAGAAAAACGAGAAGAGGAACTACCACAAAAAAGAAAACGAAGAGAGGATCTTCAAATTGCTAGTAAAATATATAAAATGTATTTTTTACATTTTTTGGTAACAGAATTAACTACTTACGTGGAATCTTGTTTAAATGTTCAATCCTTAGGTATAAAAGTTAAACATTTTATACGTGTTTAACTATAAAATAATTATTCAATTTTAAATTTGATAAATTTTGTCAAAATGCAATCTTTAAATGCTTATAAGAAAAATTGTGCCTATGTATTTTAAATATTTTTCAACTGATATTGTAACAATATATCAGGAGCCTTGTATTAAATTTTTACACTTTTTGGCCAAACAGATAAAACTTTATTGATATTTATTGAAAAAAAAACTAAAAAAATTGAAAACTGAAAATGTCTGTAAACAGCTCAAAAAGAGTCAAAATATTTTCAAAATTGTATGGTGTATAGAAAATGCTATCATAAACATTCAGTGAAATTTTCATGTATCTACAGTTATTCATTTTTGAATCACAACAAAATAAGGAAATCGCTACATAAGAAATCGAGTGAATATCAAATGTTGTAAAAATATGAATTTCAAACACTCATACAAATTTAATTTGAGTTGCTTGTAGACATTTTTTGTTCGATAAAGGTATTACATTTTCATATCTTAGATTTAAAAAGAAAAATTTTTATGAATTCTTAACTCAAAATAATTTGCTGATTTTCGTGATTTTTCCATATTTTGTCAATTTTTGAACCTTAAATGCTTATCAAAAAAAAACTCTGACTAAGGTTTTTTAATATATTCTGCCTTTGAAACAATATGCTAAGACCCTTCTATTAAATTTTCAAGCTTTTTTAACCAACAAATAAAGTTTTATTGACATTTATGGAAAATATAGGGAAAATCGGTTTTTAAAAATTGATTGTCGGTGTACGTGTAACTCTAAAACAAACTCTAATACATGACTTTTTCCCAAGTTGTTAGTTGTTTAATGTTTATATAAGCATTATTTACATGATCAAATTTACAAAATATGTTTGTTTTGAATTGTTTACGGACATTTCCAGTTTCCAATTTAAGTCTTTTAGAATCTGAGTAGAACGATGAATGTATTGATTTTACAATGATGTGTGTTTTTTTTTTTAATTTTATAATTTTTTTTTTTTGTGGGCTTGTGCCTGTCATCACGGTTTAGGGCAGTAAAAACTAAAAATAATAAAATAATATGTAAAACTGCTTCTTTTTCTTCAATAGTATCATTGTTTTATGATAGTATCTTGTTCGATGGGAAAGTGTTATCTATCACGAGACTGTGATAAGAACTCCGTGTTATCTATATACAGACAATTGATAACAGTATGAAATGAAATCACTAATCACATATATCAAAATTAAATTAAAGAAAATTGAACTGTAAATTAATGAAATTTAATAAATATAAACAATAACAAAACTCATATCGTAAAAATCAGTAATTACAACTACTGCATTCACACAGGATACAGTCGAATTACACACCGATACAGTATGTAATATAATATTTGCACACATACTAAAATAATTACAATACCATATCCACTTATTCATACTTAGAAGACTTGTTGTTAGACGTCCAATAATATAATATATCAAGATGATGCGCTACGATGAAGGTGAACTCACAGACCATAGGCCCTGTGCTGGCGTAAGAGCAGACCTCAAGATGTGTCTGTTGGAATCGGACTGTTGTAAAATAGTAAATAGTTAATTTTATTCTAAATAGAGTACCTAATACATATTTTATTTAATTCTCTAAGTTGTAATGTGTGTTGATTATAATTTTTAGGAAAGAAAGTTGCCCAAAGACTGCTTGAAAGAGAAAAACTGTCCACCTGAATGTTTGGCATTACAAAATACATTTTTTGAATGCAAGAGGTCACTTGTAAGTTTATTCAGTTCAATAGATAATATTTTGATAGCAGGCATTGGATTATAACATTTATATTGGATAAATACTGTGGCGTATACATACATTTTGTATGGGGCATCAGAAAAAAATTTTAAACCTAGGTACCTGCACATTAAAAGAATAAATAACAAAATACAGCTAATATATAATTAGGTACAATAGCGTGTCTATAAATATTTAAATACAATTTGAGTTTAAATAATTTAAGTACAAACTTAGTATTATCATAGTATTATTAAGTATACTATATTCATAAAATATCGTAATATATTAGATAGTTACATGTAAAATATAATGATTCTAATTTTTTTATAGTAATTATTATAGTACAATATATTATATTGGTCTACTGAACTTTTTTTCGGCCTACCTACCTATAGTTGTCAGCATACCTTTCAAAGAGTTGAAATTACACCCCTGAATTAAACAATATTATAGTATACAAGTTATTTCATTTTTTTATGTATCCTTGTAAGTTGTAACGCACTAACACTAAGAGCACTATTTTATAAAATTTTTGTTTGGAAAAAAGGCCTATGGGGGGATTTGACTCCCACATCCCCCCTTGTATACGCCACTGGATAAATATATACTATAATAGTGTACTATAATCTTCACTTAAATATTGTGAACTACCTGTTATTAAAATGACAGAATATGATAAAAAAAATGTTATTAACTGCTATCATAAGTATAAGAAATGGCTTATTTAATATACAACTAAAATTGGAAATTATTTCTACATATTGTTCTTAAAATTGAACATTGGTTATAAAACAACTATCTAATTAGTCTATCAACACAACGGTGTAATAATTTTGATTTTGATGAAAAAATTGAATCAAATTATAAGTATGCAATTTACAATAATTTATCGACATGTTTATTAGCTTATTCAACTGGAAGTTTCTAAAATATCAATAATTTTGTTTAAAAAACAAGTAAAAATACAAAATTAAATTCTTCTATGTATTATGCAACTAATTGCAGGCTTACACTGATAGTTGTTACAAATAATGTACATATTTTAAAAGTTATAACATAAATGCAAGTATTAGTAAATGAGAATCCATTCCCTGTTTATAAATTATATGTAACTACATTATTATTGCGTCTCCAAATTATCAGAATTTTTTTGATTGAAAATATAAATATACTAATGATAATTTTAATTTTTTTAATTATATTTGTAAAATCATGGTTAATAATTAATAATTATTATATTTTTATAGACAATATTACAGTATCTAATATTCAAATCATTTTATTTCAGTTGGACAACAGGCAGCGGTTCAGAGGAAGAAAAGGCTATTAACAGTATACAATTTATATAGATTTCAAGAGAACAAGATTTTCTCTGATGTTTATATATCTATATTTTTTTATAGTTTTTTTCTTTTCGGTTGTTAAAAATAAAGTAATTCAAAATTAGTTTTTATTTACACTTAAATTTGTATAGATTTCATTAACAAAAACATTTCATTTATTACAAATATACAAGTTCTTAAAAAATATATTTTGTGTAAGTACATGTTATAGTAAAACTATTGGTATCTAAATATTATTCTCAGTCTTGCTCAGTCGTTATTTTTTTTTGAAACTCCACAATTCTTTAGCAACATTTTTCTGTCTATCGGTTCCTAGTTCATTTACAAATGGGATAATATCTAACAATATATCTTTAGGAGATTCATGTACGTTATCAAACCATCCTTTAACATCCTTATACATTTGTATATCATTGGTATATTGGAAATGTTTTGGCTTTACAATTGGTCTAAATGCCTTTACGGGTTTTTCATTCGCCAACATTAGTCCTCTGGCAGCTACTGATAACGATGACAAACTTATATCATATATAGAAACACCAAACATAAAGTTAGAACTCAACATTACATCAGCAGCACTGATTGCATCAGCTCCTTTGCAAATGTCAGTTAAACTAGAGAAACGAGTTAAATAATTTTCTTGTAGATATCCCAAAACTGTAGTCGGCTGCATTGCAATATTTTCAACCAGTTTGTCGGGGTTATGAGTAAATTTAAATTGTAGTGAAGAGTTTATTATCTCTCTCTTTGGATATATAACACGACCAATAGAATGAAATAAATCAAGGTTCAAGTCCAATGAAGCAGTAGAATACGATTTACTGATTTTATTTTGGACGTTCATACAAGTAAAACTTAAATTTATAATTGATGCTCTGAGATCCCCGTTAGTCTCATCATATATAGCATTAAATTCTGAAGAATTTGGTATCCTTAGTAATTTATTTTTCTGTTGTTCAGATTTGACGATCTGTTCCAATACAGATAGTACAGATTTTCTTGTGATTGGGTTGAATTTTATTTGTTGCACTTTCAATTTTTCTGAGATTTCTGTAGAAAATAAATCACGGATAATTTTCTCGTTGTTAATTATGAATACAATTGGAAATTGTGAGGGTGTATTAAAACGCATCATGATATCATGAAATTCATCAGGTTTATCTAAGAAAATATTAGGAATATCTTTAATCAATAAGAATTGACCATTAGAAACACCGCATTTTAAACTACGGTACCTTGTAGCGCCCCAAATAAAATCTTGGAACTTATCTTGTACATTTTGGTAACAATAACCATCAGTGCATTGATCATAAATTGGTTCAATAGTCATAGGTGTTACCCATTCTAAACAAATGAAATCACACTGTTTGGCGATCAATTTCACTGTGGTTGCTTTAGCACATCCTGTAGGTCCAGTAACGAGTAAGATTTTACTTTTAATCAATGAATTATTATTTAAACTTTCAAACCAATGTTTCACTTCTTTTATTTTACCATTATGTACTGCTAGTTTAGAAACAGACTGAGGAGTGTAAATATTACACCAATCTGAATTTTTATTTTCACTGGTAGTATGAGTATGTGGCCTTTTTCTACTAGTATGCTTCAATGATTTAATAGTTGATGGGATTTCTTCAAAAGATGGTTTAATCCATGCTTTTTTTTCAGGACTCATTGCCTAAGAAATTAAAATTAATATTTCAACATTTTGTAAAATAGTAATCACTTCACAGCAAATGTATAATAATAATAAATAACACTAAATTTAAACTAAAACAAGTATACAATCATAGCCATAACGAGATTTAAATTCAAGAGGTGCTGGAGTCTTGACATTTTTTGATAGAAAAATAAGGTATGGGGACAGTACATAGTTTCAAAACATTCTGGAGAGTTCAGCCTCCCCCTCCCCCCTACACTAATTATGACTATGAATTCAATATACAACATATAGAAGTTAATCTTATAAAAATAATAATAACTGAAGCATTTTATTCATTTCAAATAAATACGACCAAAAACTAATAGGTACTTACAGATTTCAAATTTGTGAACCCCGACATTTAAATAATCATTTGTTTAGTAAGGTAGATGGTAGATACTAATTTAGGTACCTACTATTGTTTTTCATACAATAATTTTGATTGCTAATTTAAAAATGGTAACAAATGGGTTACCTAGTGAATTATTTTAAGTAAAGTATTATTACTAATCGATTGTATATAGCTGATTACTTGTACAAACTTGTACCTTGTCATTTGATAATGTAAATATTTAAATGAATCAATTAATGGAACATCTTATCAATACCGAGACTGAAGCTGATAACCATGGCAAAAGATAATCATTGATAACAGAGCCTCCTTTATCTATAGCCGTGATTGATAATTGATAGTCGACCACGATTATAAAGAACTTTAAAAAAAAAGTTCTTTATAATCGTGTAGTCGATACTACGGTCTTAGAAGATATCTTCGAAGACCGTGATCTACAGATTACTCTATGATCTACACCACGGTTGAAAATTTGAAATTTCAACTTGAAATTCTGATGGACCAGTGCAAATGATTACAGATTTTGAAATGGTCCTTCGCAACGCTATCAGACGTATTTCCTGAATGGCAACAAGGTGGCTATTCTTACCTTTTATACTTATTGTTATTTTTTGTAATACTGGATTTATATAATAAATAATAAATTTATCTAACTATTTATAATAAGGTTCCCAAGTGCTGCACGATTTGTAACATAATATGTCCAAGCCTCTAGAAGCATGCAAAGAGCACGTCGTGGACATCAATCACCCACACCAGGAACAACCAGAGAATGGGGTGTCATACTACGCTCAGAAGAACGGCGATATAGATACATCAGTACTATTGGAAACCGTAATTATATTTATTATTTAATTACAATAAAAATAGTAATCGTATTTATGATTTTGTATCTATAACTTGTTGACAATTAGAAACTCAGTTATATCAAGGAGAATTGATCAATGAAATACATTTTATGGATTAATGTTTTCCAATATACAATTAGTGAGAACTCGGTATGATTGAAAACTTAATAACAATATCCATATTTGCAATAGATGAAATTTATCAATGCTTGCCGAACTATCTAAATGATGTACGCTAATTACTAACTGTTCACATTATACAAAATAGTATGGTAAAAAAATAATTTATCTTCTATAAAATTTGAATAGTAGGTACATTATTATTGTTTTTAGAGTTTCCCCTTGGCGTATGATTGTTGGGTACGTCATACACAAGCAGCGTACTAAACTGTGATGAACTTTATTTTACATCTATCATTACCTTATTCTAATAGACCAGTGCAAGAAATTACAGAATTTGAAATGGGCCTTTGCAACGCTATGAGACGAGTATTTCCTCAATGGCAACAAGTTGGCCGTTCTTTCCATTTGAATCAGGTACAAATTCACTTAGAATCTTAAACAGCTGAGGTATAGGCACAAATTATTATTATTAAAATCAAAAAAAATTGTGTACAGGCTGTGAGGCAAATAATTAGTTTGACTAATATGGTCATACACAATGTTATGGCTTGAAATATAGTGTGATTGGTAATTAAAATCTTAATGTGAACATTGTTAGCTATAATAAAACTAATTCTTATGTATTTGTGATATTTTAGCTATTAGCACTACCACATCTTCCATCAAATAGATTTGTGCTCCCAAATATTCAAGGGTTTACAATATCTGAAAGCTTGATGATGGTCAGGGCTTCATCCACTTTTCATCTACTTTGAACGTTACTGGATGCGTGTAATAGGTCCAGAAAGTTTTTCTGTGTATCTAATCACAATCATTGTACAAACAATTTTGTTGAATCGTTCTGTGCCTCACTTCTTGGATACCTCTGAGTTCATCCATCACTTTGGACATTTTATATTATCTCAAGAGGATGTCAGTTCACAATATTTGTTTTTTCTATTTGGCCCACTTGCAACATAGAAAAAACGCATTCACGCAGAATCATTTTTTCTATGTTTTTATGTAATCTTACTAGCCAGAGAGACAAAACAAATAGTGCGCTGACGGTAATCAGAAAAAAAATCCCTGACCCTAGGAAAAAAAATCCCCAGACTACAATATTACTCACAACCTCATGAAAATGGTTGAACAAATATTTTTTAAACGTTAATTATAGTATCTATAATTAATATCTAGTTACAAATACGTATATTATATTATATTATATTATATTGTTAAAAAAATTATATATTATAAATAATATTTTGTTTTAAATTACGATAATATATTATGTTTAATTCAAATTAAATAACTAACTTAACAACGTTACAAATAGGTGTAGAATATAAAAATATTTTGAATGATCGATACGTCAAATAATACAGTTAAACACATAGTATACAAAAATATTATACAAAATATAGGTAATAAAAATAATATAAATAAATTACTATAAATAATTTTTGAAAACGTAATATTTTATTTCAGGGATTTAATTTTTACAGAATTCAATTATACCAACATAAAATGTGTATTAATATAGTAATATAAAATGTTGTTGCGGCGCTGGCAGTCGCGGGTTCGACTCTCGGCCACTGGGCGGCATTTTTCTCCGGGCAAGTCACGGTGTCCGGGGAACAAGTGCCGCCATCCCCCACTCCGGGGCATGGCAGAAACCTACGGGTGCCCCATTCAAAATTCTGCCAAACCCAACACACACGTGTTCCTCCCCCTACCAACATAAAACCTACAAAAACCATACAGCTAATGGCCATAGTTGCCGGGCTTTAGATACAATTAAAAAAAAAAAAAAAAAATGTTGTTGTTAATTTTTCAAAAATTATTTATAGTTATTTATTTATATTATTTTTATTACCTATATTTTGTATAATATTTTTGTATACTATGTGTTTAACTGTATTATTTGACGTATCGATCATTAAAATATTTTTTATTACACATTTTATAGGTATATATTTTATATTACACATAAAATATTATCGTAATTTAAAACAAAATATTATTTATAATATATAATTTTTTTAACAATATAATAGAATATAATATATGTATTTGTAATTAAATATTAATTATAGATACTAATTAACGTTTAAAAAATATTTGTTCAACCATTTGCATGAGGTTGTGAGTAATATTGTAGTTTGGGGATTTTTTTTCCTACGGTCAGTTATTTTTTTTTCCGGGATTCGCTCTGACATCATCATAAGTAAATGTTTTAAGCAATATTGTTTTAAAATTAGATCAATTGAGGGGCGCGGAAAATATAACGAGGTTGGAGGTGCACCAGATACTAAATGGCCAACAGGTATGTTAAGACAGTTATAAATAAATTATCAGAAACAAATAAAATAACTTAATGATAAATAAATTTAAATAACTGTATACATTTTGTCAGGTCTGGAGAAGATTTACTAGTAGTCGGAACAGAAATAATGGGAATTTAAGTAATGCATTATAGGATAACAAAATGGAAGTGGAGATACAATGGTATTTTTAAAGAGGATTGCATTTATTAACGAAACGTTTGTAAACATAACAATGGTCAAATTTTGGATGACCCACAAGAAGGTAAATAGTAAATAAATAATTAAATATTTGATTTAATTTTGAGAAACCCGGGTAGAATTTTTTCAATGGATTGAAGATGGAAATTGTTAAGGCTCTACCACATTGCGTGATTATGTAATTTGTTACAATTCCACGTTATTCACGTGCGTGAAAGCACCACGCCGACAAACCATTTACCGCTTTAACACGTTCTGTTTGACAAAGCCTTTAGTGCTAACATGGTTTTATATAATATGGATTTTCTTTAACTAGTCTTAATTATTATAAATGTTGAAGAAGTAACATCTTCTGTCCCAAGAGATTCTCCCATACAAATAGCTAATAATAACCTAGCAGGTAAATCAATTTTTAATTAATTTAAATGAGTAAGCCTAAATACATTTAAAAATTAGTTTTGGTATAATATCATTAATAAAGACCGTATTTATATGTTTTTACACATCGTTACTGGGTCTATGAAGTCTTATGAGAGTAAAAAATGTGGACGATTCTGAATGAGTAGAAATATTTGAGAATATTTCATGGGTTAGAGAATATTTAACCCATTTAGCATATTTTGGAATACTTCTTAAATTGTGAGAAAAAATTTGTATTTATTTTTAATTTTAATATTTACGGTACCCAGAAAAATTTTTTTTGAACATATATCATTTTTTTTTTTATAATTTCCAACTCTTACTTAAGTGCAATAGTATTCCATTAGAATGTGCCACTTTTAATCCTAATTAATACCTCACTATTAAAATGTTGAAAAAAAATTTTTTTAATGCATATTAAAGCAGTGGCGGCTCGTGGTATGGTGCACAGGAGCACGTGAACCACCCAAAAAAATTATATTAAAAAATTATTATATGCCATAATAACATAATATAATTGATGATTATGCAAATGGTCTGTAATTAAAAAAAATATAAATATTTATATTAATAAAAACAAGTTTTTGCAGCTTTTATGTTAAGAAATATATTTATAAACGATTAAATAATATCGCGGAGCACAAGTTGTTTGTGCTCCGGGCGGCCGTATAAAAATTAGCTACATGCCTCGACACGCCGACTGGTAATACATGGCAATTTGGAGCACATTTAATGTGTGCACCGATCCTATTTTATTGTCGCGATATCGTGTCATTCGTCGAAACGATAACGCATCATTGTACAGTATCCATCAACTGCCGCCAGTGTGCAGCACTGCAGCAGTCAAATCAACTAATAACTACTATAATATCCATAGACTTATTATAAATAAAATAAATAAATGAAATGTCTAATTTTAACGAAGAAGTTATTGAAGTGTTTATACAAAAAAAGAAAGACTTATAGATTTAGTTTTTAAAAATGTAACTGATTAATTTCATATAATAATAATTGTAATTTGTTGTAATTGTATAGCTCTAGCCTCTAATAATAAATTATAATTACAACGATATTGTGTATTTGTGTTTATATTCATACATAATAAGTTAATAATAAGTAGTTGATAATTTTTTATAATTTAATTTATATTTTAATGGGGTAAAATGCTTAAAAAAATTTAATTTAGATAAGATAAGTAGGTACATTATTTTGGTATTATTCGTGGTATGTACCTATACCAAAATAAATTTTTTTACCATCTAACATAGATATCTTATACATTTTTTGTGCACCACTTTACGTGAACCTCACGAGCCGCCACTGTATTAAAGTAAATTATGATGTTTATTGATTTTTGCATATTTTTTTGAATTTTTGAGAATATAAATTGGGTCTTTAAGGGGATTCCATACCGACCGTTTTTAAGGAGTTGAGTATAGGCAATTTTTAGACAATCTGTATAGTACGTGCATGTGTGTGTGTAGTAAATACTAAATAATCATTGGTGTGAGTGACTTCCCTGTACCCTAGATAAGCGTTGCACACTTGCACTCGCATGCACATGTTATGCCTAACAACAAATTTGTTTCATGGCGAAATGATCTAAATCATAGACCTAAACGAATTATTCCAACATACCGACTTGAGTTTTACACAGATTATAATTTTGAAAACAAATTTTGTTTTGTTCAATAAACTTTGGATCTTTCGAGCCACATTTTTAATTTATTATTCTTAAAACGAAACTCACTTGAAATTTAGTAAAAAAACTGTATTCTTAAACATTTTAATGGACATAAATAGTCTTATATTTTTTTTTATTATTATTATGATTTGAAGGATTTAAAATAGACTTCATAATAAATTCAAATATGTTTTCAAAATTATTATAGGAGTAAAACTCAAGTTAGTACGTTGGAACGAGTATAGGTATATTTTACTCTAAAAGGCGGTAGTGTGGAATCATTAATATTAGTAACTAGAACCATATTTAGTTGTATAGAATTATGAATGAGTGCATAACATTAAAATGTATCCAGAAGTATAAAATAATAATTTTAAGACCCTGAAGACTTGAAATGATTATTAATTATTTTTGAAATGACTAATTTTTTTTTTTTTAGAAATTGTAGAAGTTTGTACCATTTGTTTTGACAAAGAAACAAAATATGTTACACTGAGTTCATGCGCAACCATACATTTTGCAACACTTGTACTATTAGACTAATGGAAAACAATTTTAACACTTGTCCGTTGTGCAGAGCCAGCATTGTGGGATATGATGATATTAAACTATAAGCTATGCTAATATTGTATAATATAAGATTATATAGTCTAAAGAGATATGTTCATTTAATTTGTTTTGTATACTTATAGTTACTAATTCCTAATAAGTAGTAGGTAGTTGTACACCATTATATTGTCTGATATTATAAGAACATGTTTTCACAAAAATATTAATTACCTATTATTACGTATATTAAATAATTTAAATTTTATAAAAAGTACAACAGGTATGCATGCAACCTTACCTATGATTTGGTTCATCTGTTGGCGTCTTGAGTATTACCATTGATTATAAATAAAGACCGGATTTATATGCTTTTACATATCTTTACTGGGTCTATGCAGTCTTATGAGAGTAAAAAATGTGGACGATTCGTTCAATTCTGAATGTGTAAAAAAAAGTTTTTTTTGCATATTTGAGAATATTTCATGGGTTGGAGAATATTTAACCCATTTAGCATATTTTGGAATATTTCGTAAATTGTGAGCAAAAATTTGTATTTATTTTTATTAATTTTAATATTACGGTACTCTGAAAAAATTTT